GTGTGTGTGTGTGTGTGTGTGTGTGTGTGTGTGTGTGTGTGTGTGTGTGTGTGTGTGTGTGTGTGTGTGTGTGTGTGTGTGTGTGTGTGTGTGTGTGTGTGTGTGTGTGTGTGTGTGTGTGTGTGTGTGTGTGTGTGTGTGTGTGTGTGTGTGTGTGTGTGTGTGTGTGTGTGTGTGTGTGTGTGTGTGTGTGTGTGTGTGTGTGTGTGTGTGTGTGTGTGTGTGTGTGTGTGTGTGTGTGTGTGTGTGTGTGTGTGTGTGTGTGTGTGTGTGTGTGTGTGTGTGTGTGTGTGTGTGTGTGTGTGTGTGTGTGTGTGTGTGTGTGTGTGTGTGTGTGTGTGTGTGTGTGTGTGTGTGTGTGTGTGTGTGTGTGTGTGTGTGTGTGTGTGTGTGTGTGTGTGTGTGTGTGTGTGTGTGTGTGTGTGTGTGTGTGTGTGTGTGTGTGTGTGTGTGTGTGTGTGTGTGTGTGTGTGTGTGTGTGTGTGTGTGTGTGTGTGTGTGTGTGTGTGTGTGTGTGTGTGTGTGTGTGTGTGTGTGTGTGTGTGTGTGTGTGTGTGTGTGTGTGTGTGTGTGTGTGTGTGTGTGTGTGTGTGTGTGTGTGTGTGTGTGTGTGTGTGTGTGTGTGTGTGTGTGTGTGTGTGTGTGTGTGTGTGTGTGTGTGTGTGTGTGTGTGTGTGTGTGTGTGTGTGTGTGTGTGTGTGTGTGTGTGTGTGTGTGTGTGTGTGTGTGTGTGTGTGTGTGTGTGTGTGTGTGTGTGTGTGTGTGTGTGTGTGTGTGTGTGTGTGTGTGTGTGTGTGTGTGTGTGTGTGTGTGTGTGTGTGTGTGTGTGTGTGTGTGTGTGTGTGTGTGTGTGTGTGTGTGTGTGTGTGTGTGTGTGTGTGTGTGTGTGTGTGTGTGTGTGTGTGTGTGTGTGTGTGTGTGTGTGTGTGTGTGTGTGTGTGTGTGTGTGTGTGTGTGTGTGTGTGTGTGTGTGTGTGTGTGTGTGTGTGTGTGTGTGTGTGTGTGTGTGTGTGTGTGTGTGTGTGTGTGTGTGTGTGTGTGTGTGTGTGTGTGTGTGTGTGTGTGTGTGTGTGTGTGTGTGTGTGTGTGTGTGTGTGTGTGTGTGTGTGTGTGTGTGTGTGTGTGTGTGTGTGTGTGTGTGTGTGTGTGTGTGTGTGTGTGTGTGTGTGTGTGTGTGTGTGTGTGTGTGTGTGTGTGTGTGTGTGTGTGTGTGTGTGTGTGTGTGTGTGTGTGTGTGTGTGTGTGTGTGTGTGTGTGTGTGTGTGTGTGTGTGTGTGTGTGTGTGTGTGTGTGTGTGTGTGTGTGTGTGTGTGTGTGTGTGTGTGTGTGTGTGTGTGTGTGTGTGTGTGTGTGTGTGTGTGTGTGTGTGTGTGTGTGTGTGTGTGTGTGTGTGTGTGTGTGTGTGTGTGTGTGTGTGTGTGTGTGTGTGTGTGTGTGTGTGTGTGTGTGTGTGTGTGTGTGTGTGTGTGTGTGTGTGTGTGTGTGTGTGTGTGTGTGTGTGTATAACGCATAACTCATGAACCGATACACGGAAAAACACCAAATTTTAAACTTAAGCTTTATTCCAACGTCTCATGAGCTGATTAGATTTTGGGCAGAGTCGGAACATCTGGGGGGTACTTTATAGGTGGTCATTTTTATATTTTATGGAATATATCTGTTATTTACGTTTGGGGAAGAAATTTTTTTAAATAAAAGTTACTTCTTATTTTATTATCTATAATTTTTGTTATTTACAAAATTTTCCTAAAATGGTCCGTATTCGAGAAATTTGACAAAATGTAAAAAAATATTTTTTTTTATAAAAATTGTTTAAGCAAAAGTTGCTTGTAATATAATTCTCTATAATTTTTGTCCCATAGATAATTTCTCTAAAATGGATCGTATTCGAGATATTTGAGAAAATGTGTAAATTTCGAAATTTGAAGAAAACTCAAAAACGGATAAAAAAAATATCAATAAATTTTAAACTTAAGTTTTATTTCGGCCTGACGTGAAATGATTAGATTTTGGACAAAGTCGAAACATCTGGGGGGTACTTTATGGGAGGCCGTTTTTATATTTTATGGAATATATCTGTTATTTATGTTTGGAGAAGAAAATTGTTCAAATAAAAGTTACTTCTAATATTATTATCTATAATTTTTGCCTTATGTAAAAATTTCCTGAAATGGTCCGTATTCGAGAAATTTGACAAAATGTGCAAAATTCTGATTTTTATGAAAATTGTTGAAATAAAAGTTGTTTGCGATATCGATCTCTATAATATTTGTTTATACATGATTTTTTTTAAATGGACCGTAATGGAAAAATTGTAGGAAAAGTGCTAAATTTAAATTTTTCAGTATTTTCATTTTCAATGAATATCTATAGAAAAATGTTTCGCGGTAGATGTATGTGGACAATGTATATATTTAGTTTATCCTCTAAACATTTATAGAGATGCTGCAATAGGTTGTACACAATAAACGGAAAAAGCCTGTAATAACTAGATAGGAAAGTCATGTGTTGGACACATCAGATTTTTATTCAAAACAGCAGGTAACAATCTCACGTAGCTTCAATTTAGAAGAGAAATTGTAAAAATCTATTTAGAAAGAGCGCGAAATCCTCCAAAATCAGGAGGCCGCTCACGTATAATCAAATCCAGCAGGTCCTTTTGCAGAGTATCAGATGACATTAGGTTCGATAATACTGGACATTTGCTTACAGCTATTCCAGATGGAAAGAAGCAACGTTGTACTGGAGAAAATTGCGTACTATGTGCATTAGGTGTAATGTAGGTCTCTGCTTAAATTGTAATATAAATTTTCATACAAAGCTTTAATCACTTTGTACTTTTTGTGCCCTAAATATAGTATATTACATTACGAGTTACATTTTTCACATGAGTGAGGAATATTGTCGCACGAGGCACAAGGCGAGTGCGACTATCACAGGAGTGTGGAAAATCACTTTTCACACAAGTGATGTACAATATTTTTCCTACGACCACAAAATAATTTCAACAAAAAACGTAAAACCATTTTATTATTATAATAAAAATGTATTTAAAAAAATAATTAACAATAATCGTATTTATTTAATTTTAATATTTTCTAAACAAAAAATAAATAAAGAACAAAAAAAACAAAAAAAATTCTGGCCCTGCCAGGATGTAAACGCGGTCGCTCGCCAGGTCTCAAATGGCAAAGTTTGACGCTCTAACCAACTGAGCTAACAGGCCTTGCGTCAATTGAATCGGTTATATGTTTAACCAGAATAAAGAGCAAACATAATATCTTAGTTATTTTAAAATTATTTTAATAATAATTGTTTAAAGATGAATATCTAGGATATAATTTACAACAATTTCATTAATTTAACAATCATATCGATTTTAGTATTAATATGGACATTACATACATCAAAATAGAAACGATGTGTTTGACATTTTATGACAGCTGCTACGGAAAGTGACATATTCGAACACGGGTGGAAAGTAAATTCTTATTCATACGCGTGTGATATAGGACACTTTTCACAGGACTATAAAGTGTGATATGTGTCACTATCCTAAGTGGTCGTAGGAAATTTTTTTTTATTGCCAGTGACTTTTTCTTGGGATATCTGAAACTTTGACCGTTGAAGGACTAGCGTTGCCATATGGCAACCTCAGTTTTATAGAGAAGACTAAAGTAACTAAATTTTTTTTATTGTTTTTTTTGGGTTAATGTTGACATATCCAAGCAAACATACTTAATATTATTCATGTTTTAAAAACTAAAAAAACTCCGGACTTGAAGGGTTAAAGATAAATATCTACGATCTAATTTAGAACAATTTCAATAATTTAACAATCATATCGATTTTAGTATTAATATGGACATTACATAGAACAAAATAGAAATGATGCGTTTGACATTTTGTAACAGCTGATGCGGTTTGGGCGGTTATTGGACGGTAAAGCGAAACATAAAATTCTGACGAAATGAAATAGCGCAGTGACAGCAGAGCTCTTTCTTTATGTAAAAAAATTATCCAACGGACAGCAGTCGTAATCATTCTCATTCACTTAAATTTTTCTGAGGTTACTTTTGGAAAGACAGCAAAACTATTAAAGAAAAAGTAAAACAAACGAAAATAAATATTTTTGAGACCATGCTTTAAAATACTTTTATTTGATATCACACGATGGAATCAAAAAAATCCAACTTTCAATTTAATTCCTCTTATGTCTAAGTAAACAGATTGTGACGTACGGACAGATAGAGAGACACCAAAGTGTTTTTATTGCCATTTTGGGTACTAAAGAGACAAATTACTTAAAAAATTATTTGTTATTGTCTTCAAAATTTTACAGTTTTTCATGTTTGGTCCAAAGTATATCTGAATGAGACAAGACGAGACGAAAGAAAGGCTCTCTCGAGTGAGAGAAGCGTCTTTTCGTCGAGACGAGAGAACAATTTCTCTTGCCCTACTAGACGAGACCAGAGAGATCCCTCGCTCGTCTCGTCTCGCGGCATCACTCATCAGGGATCGAACCTGGACTCTTCTGACTAGGGTCATCGTCGCCGCCTCTACTAGTTGGGATATCGAGGCACATGGCTGCGACAATTAAATTTGTAGGTTTGAAGTTATTCAAATTCCAAACCTCGTCGGCACACACACACACACGTATTCTCACCTTATCCCAGCTCTTTTGATTCTCTTTAAAGTCATACTTGTGACATCGTGTAGGAAGACGCTAATTTCTGATTATATTAGATTATATTTCTAAGGTCCTTCGTTCGTTTACCAGTGTTAAGTTTTCGAGTACGGTCCGCCGTAAACATGAAATAACAAACAAGAGTTAGGACGAAATGGAAATTATATATATATATATTTCCAAAATTGCTGTTTGGTTTTTCTCATTTCAACCGATTTTCTCACTCCTTTTCTTAAAAAACACAATAAAACAATAATAAAAAAATAATATAAATTATATAAAAGCATTTTTATTAAATTCAAATAAAAAGATATTACTGATCAGGTATTTTTATTTTAAAGTTTTGTGGCATGCACAACGAACATTGTAGTGTTTAACTGAGCACATTTTTTGCCATCTTTATTGGTGGTTACATCAATCATTTTACAATTTTGACATTCTTTTAAATAGTAAGCCATGTATTCGTCCAATAATTCTTTAGGAATCTTTGGAATCGTCGGATTTGCCGCAGTAAATAGACCTACAAATAATAGTCAATTGTTTTTTCTCTTTCTCTTTTTTGTACTGATTATTCCCACTTTACCAATAATATTACTATCTTTTCGTTGGGCATCCAGTTTTAATTATAAATATCGCAAGGCTACAAGGCGCCTACATATAAATAAAATAAACATTAAAAGTTAAATACAAAAATAATGAAAATTAAAGTACATAAAATTAACCGAAGAACAATAAACTTAACACATAAAAAGAATTTTTTAAATCAGAACCATTAGGGGACAATAAAAAACAATATATGTCGATGTAAGATTACTAATAAATCAGTAAATTGAAAATAAAAACCAGATCTGGTGAAACTAGTAAGATTATTCAAAGCATAAAGAATTAGAGAACTACGAGATTAAGACGGATCACAAAGAAACATTTCTGAAGAATTTTAAAATAAAAATCGACAAAAATTTAAAGGAAATCAAATTTAAGTACTTACTATTAAATTCTTCAATAGATTCAAAGTTGTAAATGTCCTTTTCGACATTGAAATGATAGTCCTTAAAATTAGCAGCATTAATATCCCTTCTGTATTCATTTTGCGGATTTTCACTGTAATAGTACTTGGATATTATTTCGTCTTGACCATAATCACTCCATTTTGGATTTTTAGATAATTTTTCAAATACTTCATCGAGTGGACTTCGTTCAAAAATATTCAGAAACGTCCAACCTCCAGGTTTTAATATTTGGTAAATATTTTTAAAGGCCCGTCTAAAAATAATTAATTTTAAAGGAAGGTATGTATTTGTAAAAATATAAAGATGGATCCTCGAGTTAATATCGCTAATTGCCAATATAAATAAAATAGAGCTTAAAACAGATCCTTACGGAATACAACTATTTTGAGGGTGACTTAAGTAAGCTTTTTCATTAGATATGACTCTAATGGATTTATCGCTTAAGAAATTTTGAATAAAATAGAAAATTTTACCGATTGGGTAGTAATTTCTGAGCTTTTCATTAGTGACAGAAGACTAAACAGTAGGCTCTTTCAATGTCAAATACAGCAGGAACCACTTTTTGTTTATTATTGTCGTGTAACCATCTAAAGCTGACCCTAGTCCTCTCGCCGTTGCAAGCCGCTTTGTTTATGTTTTGATATCGCAGGACAGAGACAAACGTACTCCTTTAAAAAGTTACAAGATAAATCGTTGCGCGCCGGCTGACTCACAAAGGAAGAATTCCCAGATATTCTACACTACCGAGAATCTATTGGAGCAGAGCTGGCTTTGTCGGTAGATATTGAATTTTAATATAAGTATTGTATAGTAAAGATAAATAGTAAGTTATAATAGTGCCTACGTATTAAATAAATTGATTAGTACGTAATAAATAAATTACAAATAAACTATTTTTAAATTAAACAATCATTATATTAGAGTTAGAAGTGCAATTGTGAATAAATAGTGGACAAAAATGGTTCAAAAGCTGAATATTTAAAAGAGGGTAAATAACGTCGAGAATTAGAAAATCGTGATCTGAAGACGACAGGGCAGAAAGCAGAGCTTAAAGAAACAATGGAATGTGAAAATTTATTATATCCGAAAACGTTTCTATTTTGGGATGATGCGTCTTATATAATTTCTTCTATAAAAAATAAGATATCTTCCTTAAAAACTAAGGTTTTTTTGATATATCTTTTTTATAAGGTGAAATTTCTATCGACTTGGAAAACCAAATTTCTTCTACAAAAAGTAAAAAAAATGGCTACCGTCGAGAAGAAAATAAAGTGCCATGAGGTAGAGTCGAATTTAAAATTGGAAGAAACTGTAAACTCTGCTGGTGTTAAAGCCCTAACTTTCAGAGGAAATGTCATGGACCAATAACCTTACAGTTCGAAAACACTGCCAGAGCAAATAAATGATCTGAAAAAGAAAAGACAATAAATATAACTATCGCTTTTTGAGATTATTATTGTATTATTGTACTGTATTGTATTGTATGTATTATTATTATACCCGCGGAAGGGACAGATGATTTTGAACAACTTAAACATGCGATATAATAGTAATAATAATAATAATAATAATAATAATAATAATAATAATAATAATAATAATAATAATAATAATAATAATAATAATAATAATAATAATAATAATAATAATAATAATAATAATAATAATAATAATAATAATAATAATAATAATAATAATAATAATAATAATAATAATAATAATAATAATAATAATAATAATAATAATAATAATAATAATAATAATAATAATAATAATAATAATAATAATAATAATAATAATAATAATAATAATAATAATAATAATAATAATAATAATAATAATAATAATAATAATAATAATAATAATAATAATAATAATAATAATAATAATAATAATATTAATAATAATAATAATAATAATAATAATAATAATAAAAATAATAATAATAATAATAATAATATTAATAATAATAATAATAATAATATTAATAATAATAATAATAATAATAATAATAATAATAATAATAATAATAATAATAATAATAATAATAATAATAATAATAATAATAATAATAACAAAAATAATAATTATAATAATAATAATAATAATAATAATAATAATAATAATAATAATAATAATAATAATAATAATAATAATAATAATAATAAATAATAAAGAAAAAACTACAAAATATGAAAATCTTGCCATAGAAATAAAACATGTTTGGGGCATGAAGAGGGTACAAATTATCCCAATAGTAGTTTCCGTTACAGGAATTGTCTCCGTTAACCTTTCTAAACAACTAGAAAAACTAAATATACCTCCCATTATACCACATCTACAAAAAGCAGCCATCCTACAGACCTGCCATATAATGAGGAAATTTTTGGGCGTGTTGGAATAAGATGAATTTCTTCTTTAACTATGCCTATTGCAACCGGCAAATAGCTGAGAAAAATCAAAATAATAATAATAATAATAATAATAATTTTTATTTACTAAAATACTTTAATAAGATGAACACATTTTCTTTTTATTATACATATAAATAATATACAGTAATTATTCAGTGTTTACTTTAAGATAGCAAATAAAGATGAAAACACCCACAAAAGGAAGGCCTGAGCGTGGGCAATATTTTCATTTCCATTATTATCTATAAAATTGAATTATATTTCATTTTAAATTAATTTAAACAAGTAACATGGGACATTAATTAATAAAGTGTAAAGTAAGTAATATAAAAAATAAAACATAAAATAATATTTACAGATATCAGCAAATTTATGAATATTTTTATCATTTTTTTTTAATAGACTTTTAAAAGATTTTCAGATTATAACAAGCAATATTTGAATTTAAAAATTGTTTTACTTTGATGATGGGTATTTGTAAAATCCAGTGACTAATTTTATTTTTGAAGAGATTATAGGAATTTATTTTTTTGAATTCAGAAGAAATATCATTATATAATTTGGGCCCTAGTAAGTGAAGCATTTTTATCCTATTCTTTTCTCTGTGCGAGGCACAGCAACTGCATCAGTTTTGTGTCGCGTGCTATATGATAGGTTTCTGTTTATTTTTATTTTCATATAATAATATTGTTTTGGCATATAGTTGATACATGTTAAATATTTGGGTATCATGGTATAGTAATTCTGATGGGTAGGTACGAGGTTTTTTGCACATATATTTTAAAATAGATTTTTGATTTTTTTGGAGGTTTTCCAGGAGCGTTATTCCAGCGGAGCCCCATGCAATAAGTCCGTAGTACAGATGAGATTCTACAAGTGAATAGTACAATATATTTCACTCTTCGCAATGACATACAGATCCGCTGTCAATAAATCTGCAGGCTAAACACTAGAAAAGGTGCGGTTCGGGTGTGAGATGAGACTACCATGTGACTTCGAGTTTGGATGCTGGCCTGAAGAAGACATAGCTGGTAAAGATTATGTGATCCAGCTACGAAGAAAAATGGACGACATGCATGGGTTACTTTGCCTGAATCTTCAAATCGCTATCAAAAGAATGAAGTAGCGATACAATACCCAAGCAACAAAAGGATGTCTCACGGAAGGCCTTTAAATCTGGCTTCATATCCCCAAAAAACCAAAGGGGGATTCTCCGAAGCGTGAAAGGTCCTGAAAATAAGGTCCGTATCTCATCAAGAAAAAAACATATTGATGTCATTTACTGTATGAGTAAGCCAAAATTACGCCCGTCGAAAACTAAACGCGATCTTTGATTTTGATAATTAGGTATTTACGTCCTTCTTTTTATAAAGTTCGCGAAACTGACTCTAGTTGGCCTGTCGAATAGCAGCGCTGTCAATTTTCTGTGTAACTCAATGTAAAATGAAGTGCTCTTTTTTAAATTGGTGAATATAATCAAAATTATGTGAAAAAAGTACCTTAGTACAAGTAACATGAGTGACAAAAAACATTAAAGCAAGATTTACTTCGTTCCAGATTGTATAACAGGATCCAAATCAGATGTAAAATTAAAGAAAACAGGTAGAGATCAATTCAATGCAAGTAATATAATGTATTTATTTTAAATATAATATTTATTGTAAACTAGTCACAACCCGTATCTTACGGAGTCTAGTCATTTTAATATAAAATTTTATAGTCCTAGATACTTACAAACAACAATAATTACACAATAAATTTAACTTACAGAAAAAAAAACGTTGTTTTCTATAGAGTTTTATTGTTAGATGAAGAGTTAATATTGTTATTTTATTGTTGAACCCCAATTTTGGCATTTTCTGGAGATGATGCTGTTCCACACTTTTTAGCAGATATTTTCAAATATTATGAGACTCTTTTTAACTCTTTTTGCTTATAGTACTGTTAGCAAAATAAAAAGGGGAAGGTCGAAATTAAAGGATAAGGTAATACCATGTACATTCCGAAATCTCCCTTTATGCTTGTATTACAACAATAAAAAATCTGTTAACTATGTTTTATTTTGCTCTTAAAACGTATATAGGTTTAACTAAAAAATTTGCCACAAAATTGTACTTATCAAATTTCACCATTTACCAAACATTTTTAATTTGGTCATACCTACCCAATTTGTATTTTATATAAATAAAATTAAATACTTTATCAATTAACACATGCAAAAGTTATTTAGAAATAAATACAACAGTATGTGCTGTGCTTTATTTAGCAATAAACAAGTTTATTTTGACAAAATGATGTATAATTCCCATAAGAATCCATGTATGACAAATTACGTAATTTTTAGACTATACTTACCGGTTTTTATTGCTATTTTTTTGATACTCTTTAATCGTTTTAGTTTGTACCAATTAGAAAAATAAAAAATGGAATAATCTCACCTGGGGCTTTTTACCAAATGCATGGTTATGAAACAGAATACATGATCAAATCGATTATGGTAGTCTTTAGGAATATCTCCAGCAATATCCATTTGAACAATTTTCGATCTGGGTATACGGAAATGTTTTGTAGCATCTTCAACCATTTCTATCGATATATCACTACCAATAAATTCTTTATAGTCATTAGGCAAAATGGGACGTAACAATTGGTTTGAATTGTGTCCGTTTGCAAAACCAAATTCCAGAATCGATGCGTTTTTGTTCCATTTTAATAAATGTCGATATTTTGATAAATGAGAAGTGTTCAATACAAAAGCTGCATTGCTGCTTTTTGACCAAAGCTCTGGGAGTATGAAACTCATTTTATTGATTATTTTTTATTGAAATATATTTTATTCAAACTTTATATTTATAAGGAAACTAATAATTAATAACTAACGACGGTTTTTTAATAGGTAATCATATCTATAGTTTGATAAAAACAGTTTTTTTGTATGAATATATTGTTACTACTCGGTGAATATACAAACAAATAACACACTTATCCCAACAAAATGCATTATACAATATAATATTTTGTAAAGATTTGTGCTAGGATATAATAACAAGAATACTAGTAGTTGATTCTAATTAAAAATATGTATTGTAGGAATGAATCCAGCTAAGAAATAACAAATCATATGCATTTTTAATGGTTATTTATACATTGTTCTTCAAATTTAAATACATAACTGTTACAGCAGTAACATATAAAAAAAAAACTTACTTATTTATAAGCATAATTCACGGAGGAAAACGCTTCAGTAAGAAAGTGTTACTACTAAAAAGTTTACTGTGACTGTAAAACTTTTTACTGCTACTGTTAAATTGTCTAACAACAACTGGTAGATGTGTTACTAGGACTGTAAACTAAGTTTTACAGTCCAAATTCTTACCGTGGCAGTAATATTTTTTACTACTCCAGTTAGAAATAGAATTACTATTATTGGTATTACCATCACAGTAAACCTTTCTTACTGAATCAGTAATTTTTAATAATACCGCAGTCAGACCTTTACTATAGTCTATTTTTATGTATGAGAGAGTAATAAAACAGCATTTCTAATGCAAAACTTAGTACGGTCATTTTAAATATTTTTACAAAATAATCTAAATATTTCCTAAAATTGTAATAAATGTACCTGAGCTATTACAAGTTTTGGGTCTTTTATTGGTCCTTTATAAACATAAGCTGTACAGAACAATAGAAAAAGGTTTGGACAGGCCAAAAGCCCTGTTTATTAAAGATTACATAGCCGTATCTTAAGATTATTTTCAATAAGTACCTATTTGCAAATTTTGTTTTATTTTAATTCCAAGAATTTCTTACAGTAATCGAATTATAAGTAGATAAATACCTTCCCAACAAATTTCACCGAAAATGCGACTATAGGTTTTCCATTTAGTAAGGAGGTCCAAGTTGTGTATTCTTGACAGTTTACTAAATGTCATTTAATTGCAACTTGCAAGGTGCAGTGTGAATTCTAGTGTGATCATGGAAAATTTGGAAGGGCCGCATAAACGACAAAAAATCGGTCCTTTAACAGTTAATGAAAAAACAATAAAATATTTAATTGTTTTAAATCATTTACAGAAAAACATTTATGTAAAAGTGTTGATGACACAGTGGAATTAGTTAGTAGTACGCTTGGTGTTGGGAAATCTACGATTTACAGAGTTGTTAAAGAAGAGAAATGTGGCGAGTTTCAAACAGCACGTAAAGCTCCAGGAAAACCAAAATTTCAATTAGAAAATCATTTGAAAAAAGACTTCGAAGGAAAGTACATGCGTTCTTCTTTAGAAAAGAATTTCTGACAGTAGATAAAGTTCTTGCCACGGTTCGAGATGATAAGGATTATCCCGAAATAAGTCGAAGCACACTATGGGAACTTTTAAAAGAAATAGGTTTTCTATGGAAAAAGCATTCCAGAAAGTCTATTTTAATAGAAAGAAGCGATATTGTAGTATGGAGAAGAAATTACCTAAGGACTATAAAAGAAATGAGAAACCAAAGAAGAAATATATTTTATTTAGATGAAACATGGATCAATGAGGGACATAAACCAAATAAATTTTGGCAAGATGAAACTGTTACAAGTCGAAGACAGGCTTTTTTAAATAATTTATCTACTGTTTTAAATCCACTATCAGGAAAGGGGCGCAGACTAATAATAGTACACATCGGTAGTTCAAACGGTTTTGTTAAAGGTGGTTTATTGACTTTTGAATCTACTTGTACCGGTGACTACCATGAGGACATGAATGCTGATGTCTTTAAAGAGTGGTTCGAACAAATTATAGATCTTCTTCCTCAGAACTGTATAATAGTAATGGATAATGCAAGTTATCACTCGAGACTTATAAAAAAAATGCCCACAACCAAGTGGTTAAAAAAAGATTTACAGAATTGGCTAAATTCAAAGAATATTAAGTTCCATCCCGGTTCTGTGAGAAAAAAACTGTATAATTTGTGTTCCCTTCATAAAGAGAAATTAAAAAAATATGAAATTGATGAAATTGCAAAAAATCGTGGGATGACGGTGGTTAGATCACCACCATATTATTGCGAAGTAAACCCGATTAAACTGATATGGGCACAGATAAAGGGAGAAGTTTCAAGAAAAAATAATCCTTTTAAAATAAGTGATGTTAAACAGTTGTTTTTGGAGGCTGTAAATAATGTAAAGCCTGAAAACTGGGAAAAGGCAGTAAATCATACGATTAAAGAAGAAGAGAAAATGTGGAAGTTAGACAATATTTCTGATGAAATGATCGAGCCACTCATTGTAAATATTGGTTGCGACAGTTTATCTTCTGATTTCGATTCTGATTTGGATTTGTAGGTAAGAAGTAGTTTTTATATTAAAATTATTATTTATGAACGTAACGTTGTTTAAAAGTCAAAGTTTAAACCCTTATACCTACATAACCCATTTGACACATTGTTCTTAACATACCTTGTGGAAAAATAAAACATTTTAGAAAGAATTGCACTTTTTTACCTTTAGCTGTTTAGAAGTTATAAGCAGGTTAATTAGGTGAAAATATAAGTGTATACTCGAGAAATAACTTCAAAAAATATTTCAACTGTCTACTAAAAGAAGTGCTACGCCTATGGATTATGAACGCTTTATTATTTTAATACTCTCTCATACATAAAAATAGACTATAGTAATATTTTTATAACTACCACCGTAAAACTGGCAAACTAAATCTGCAAAATAGTAATATTTTTCTAACAACCAAGGCTCTAGAAGGGAGAAACGTCCCAGTAACAATATGCCAATGGATCACTGCCTGTCTAGAGAACAGGATTATTTTATTCACTCTAGGAAAGGCAACCATACAGGCAAAAGTTACACGGGGCTGCCCACAAGGAGGAATACTATCTCCAATGCTGTGGTCAGTTCTCGTGGACGACTTACTCAAAATATTATCCAAAGAAGGCTACCAGTGCCTAGGATACGCAGACGACCTAGCAATCATCGTCAGGGGGCGATTTGCAGGTACAGTTTCGGAGCGATCTCAAACAGCTCTAAACATAGTGAACAACTGGTGCAAAAAGGAACAATTGTCCATCAACGCACAAAAAACAACAGTTGTACCATTCACAAAAAAACGGGTACTCACAGGTCTAAGACCACTAGTACTAAACAGCACAGTTATCCCATTCGTCACAGAAGCCAAATACCTCGGAGTCATATTTGACCAAAGGCTGACATGGAATCAACATCTCAAAAAACTCACACATAAAGCTACAATAGCTCTCGTAAGCTGTAGAAGAATATGTGGGAAAAACTGGGGTCTAAACCCCAAAATGACCATATGGTTATACACAAGGGTAATAAGACCCATGATAACCTATGGCGCAGTGGCGTGGGTAACCAAAACTGCGCAGGCAAGTGCAATAGGCCAACTCACTAGCATTCAGCGGCTTGCCTGTCTAAGTGCTACTGGGGCCATGCGCACTACGCCGACCGCAGCAATGGAGGTATTACTAAATCTCACGCCATTGCACATCTTCATACAAGGAGAAACCAGGTCAGCTATTCACAGGCTAATGCAGGGACAAAACCCAATAAGCCAACTACATAGCGCCGACCACACAAGGCTATATCAGCAAGTACAAAGGGATAATATTCTAGCTATGCCAACTGATATAGCCATAACCACATACAAATTTGAAAGAAATTTTCAAATTCAAATACCAGCCCGAGAATCCTGGAAACAGGGACCTCCCGTACAGGCTGAACTCGTCTGGTACACAGACGGTTCAAAAACCAAGGAAGGAGCCGGTGCTGGAATCTATGGACCTAAGTCGAAATCGACGATTTCACTAAGCTTAGGAAAATATGCAACAGTGTTCCAGGCTGAGCTAATAGCCATACAACACTGTGCAAGAGAAATATTAAATCAGCAAGTATCAGGCAAAACTATTGCCATATACTCTGATAGCCAAGCAGCTCTAAAGGCAATTCTCTCACCAGAAATCAAATCACGACTGGTGAAAGACTGTCTAGAAGACCTGACAGAGCTAAGTAGTCAAAATAAGGTGACCTTAGCCTGGGTTCCAGGCCATGAGGGATATCAGGGCAACGAAAAGGCCGACGAATTAGCCCGAGAAGGCTCAGATAAGGCCATGACAGGCCCTGAACCTTTTTGTGGAGTCGCTAAGGCATTGTGCAAGGCATCCATTAAACAATGGATGCAAAAAGAGTCTCAGGAATGGTGGAACAACTATCCAAGACTGAGACAGGCCAAACAGTTCATCAAGGAACCATCGGCCAAGTTTACGAAAGACTTACTGGATCAAAAACGTCAAATCGTTAGGATAACAGTAGGCCTTCTTACTGGACACTGTCGCCTCAAAAGGCACATGAGTGTCATAAATCCAGCAGAAGAAGCAACTTTGTGCAGGTTCTGTGAAGAAGAAGAGGAAACATCATTCCACGTCCTGTGCCAATGTGAAGGCTTGGCTGGAATGAGGTTTCTAACATTGGGCGAAGAAAAGCCAATTGCATGCAACTACATGCGGGAGCCACTGTCAAAGCTACTAAGTCTAATAAAAAAGACCAGGCTAGACGACATACTCTAAAACAAACGGAGTCCCACAATAGATCTGAAGAGGTCGCGGTGGACAAGGACAAATAACGTCCAACTCCTAATCTAATCTAACAACCACAGTAAAACAGGTTAACAATAAACGTAGAGAACCGTTACGATTAATAACGAAGAATTTGCCGAAGTCGTTTCTGGCTTGAAATATTGAGCGACCTTTGACCATATCGTCTTGCATAGTCGTTGAGTTGAGTAAACAGTCATAGTAGACACGTTTAGTCGTCGTGAGCATAGGCCGTAAAGTG